GGAAAACTAAATAATTCCGATCGGAACTCATTTCAAGCAATTCCATAATACGTCCTGGAATGTCAAAATACTAGAGAGACTACCTATCGGGTAATCTAATGGAATTTTCGTGACCGTGGCGCCTATATTTATATTTCGGTCAAATACATATTTTAATATTTAACTAAATCTGGATTGACTCACAAATGTTTTTAATGGTACTTCATAATTCTTCATACGAAATACAAACGATTCCATATATAAATTTTGTTGAATTTAAATTCGGTTAATTATTTCGATCAAGTATATGGTCCAAAAAAGAATGATTAATTGTAATTAATAGAATAAAAACCTCACAAACCTTTTTATTTGCACTTCAAAACTCTTCATATGAAATACAAGCGATTTAAAATGATAATTTTTACAACCGGAGGTTTTGTTATGTACATACAAATCGTCGAGCATTCCCTTGTCATTCGACTGTAAGGACTATTCCACACGACTTGCATAGCCGCATAAACATATGCAAATCGTATTTTACGTTTGTCTTTATAATAGAAATATGAATGGATAATTTTCTCTATGTTAGATTTATAGAATAAATGCGATCGGATAATTTTCTTTATGCATACGCTTATGCGCTATGCAAATTTGTATGGATATACTCTAACAGGGGAATGCTCGACTGCAGCTGGTTGGTCTTTGCATTCTGATCGGATCGAACTCTTGGTGTAAACTAGACCATATATACACATAGGGAGCGTTGTAATGGCCATAAAGCTGGTTATACATTAGTTGCAAGTCGATCTCAAAGTTGCGACAGCCAATATGAAGCGTTGATTTCAAAATGCAAACTTCAGATTAGCTGTCGCAGCAAACTTGCGATTGGTTTGCAACTAATGTAAAACCGGCACTTAAAGTAGGGAGCACAGACTCTTGCATATCGTGTAACACATAAGGCATAAGAAATTTAACCAATCAGAATTCTTCATTTCATGAAAAGGAAGAAAATGAAGGATTTTAATTGCATTTTCTTATGCATGTTATACGTTATGCAAAAGTCTATGCTCCCTGCTTAACCATATGCTATATATCGTCCCTGGTAAAAATTTTTCTTATAATTTTTATACGAATTGGAACATTTTTCAGAAATACTCAAAAATATTCGAACAGTTTATATTAATTCTTCTTTCAGAATTTTTCATACAAGTGAATTCTGAAATATTCTGAAATTTCTTATTCCACAATTTTTTAAAAATATTTTATAATTTTTTTAGATTTTATAATATTTCATCAGAAATTATATTGGGTGGATGGTGTTGATGGTCAACACTATCTAGTGACAAAAAACCGCGGATACTTTTTAGATGACCCAATACTTACAAAAAAATCTTAAAAATTTTATGAAATACAATATTTCATAATATTTCAGCAAACACGGAACATAGCTGCAATATAATCTGGAAATAACACGTAATATAACAGAATGTTACATTGTAATAATAGTAATATTATTAGGTATATGACTTTGCTCATTCGGTTTTCGTATAGATAGCTTTAGCGGTAAGTGGTGATCGAAATAAATAGATCATAGACGTCACACAATAAACTTGGGCATCTGTCAACATAATCCCATAGAAACATTAGTCGATTTGTGTCTGCATCATAAAGTTATTCTCGATTGAAAATGTCAGTTTACGAGCCAAATTCTTGTCATTTGCGGGAGGTTTTAATTTTCTGCTTCAATATGAAGAAATCTGCGGCTGAGGCTCATCGAATGCTTTCAAATATTTATGGTGAAGCCGCTATTAGTGAAAGAACGTGTCATAAGTGGTTTCAACACTTCAAGAACGGTGATTTTCACGTCGAAGACCAGCATAGCGGTGGAAGAGAGAAGGTTTTCGAAGATGCAGAATTGAAGGCATTACTTGATCAAGACTCTTGTCAAAATCAAAAAGAATTGGCAAGATCATTAGGAGTGACTCAATCAGTCATTTCAAAACGTCTCAAAACCATGGGAATGATTCAGAAGCAAGGAAATTGGGTGCCGTACGAGTTGAAGCCGAGAGATGTTGAACGACGTTTGTTTGCTTGTGAACAGCTGCTTGAAAGGCAAAGACGAAAGGGCTTTCTGCATCGCATTGTGACTGGGGACGAAAAATGGGTTCATTACGATAATCCCAAGCGCAGAAAATTATGGGGAATTCCCAGCCATGCTTCCACATCGACGGCCAAACCGAATATTCACGGCTCCAAGATCATGCTCTGTATTTGGTGGGACCAGCTCGGCGTAGTATATTATGAGCTGTTAAAACCGACTGAAACAATCAGTATCGAACGCAATTGATGCGTTTGAGCCGAGCATTGAAAGACAAACGGCCGCAATACAACGAGAGACACGATAAAGTGATTTTGCAGCATGACAATGCTCGATCCCATGTTGCGAAAGTGGTCAAGACATACTTGGAAACGTTGAAATGGGAAGTCCTATCCCACCCGCCGTATTCTCCAGACGTTGCTTCCTCTGACTATCACTTGTTTCGATCAATGGCACACGACCTGGCTGACCAGCACTTCCGGTCTTATGAAGAAGTCAAAAATTGGATCGATTCGTGGATCGCCTCAAAAGATGACCAGTTTTTTTGACGCGGAATTCGTATGCTGCCCGAAAGATGGGAAAAAGTAGTGGCCAGCGATGGACAATACTTTGAATCATAAATGTATAACCAGTTTTTTACAATAAAGCCTTGAATTTCGGAAAAAAACCGCATGAGCAAAGTCATACGCCTTATAATATAATATATTTTGTTATATATAGCTATGCGAAATAATTGTTATATAACTGTTGCATTATTTTGATATGTACTTGTTACAATAAAGTAACGGCAAATAATCTCGATATAACATATCAGAGAGAAACCTGAGAGAGAATATACTGGCCCAACCTGTAACTGCAAAATGTTGCCGCGCACTACTACCCCCTGACAATATAAACTACATAGCTCTGAGGATAATACATCCACTTTTCTGAGGATAATACGTCTACTTTTCAGCTCTAGATGATAAATCGATACTTAGTTCATATAATCGTGCTACATTCACAAATTGTGCATCAGAAATATTTATCTCTGCAACCTACATGCGCCTGATGTTTAAAAGTATTAACATTAAGGTTATATTATATTTTCACAAATGTGTTAATATTTATATTTTAGATAAACTATATGTATATAGGTATAGTATATAGCTTAAAGATATCATATTGACTGCGTTCCCTGCTTAAAGATATCATATTGGCTGCGTTCAGCAGAACACAACAGTTTGGTAACCGTTTTATGATTGTTTGCTGAAGTAGGATCATTCTTTTAGATCTAAAAGTAATCCAATCAACGCGAAGAAAACTTCCAACAGTTGCAAAATAAACGTTCTGCTGAACGCAACCATTTATATTGGGTCATCTAAAAAGTATCCGCGGTTTTTTGTCACTAGATGTGTGTTGATGGTCATATATCTAGTGACAAAGTACCGCGGATACTTTTTAGATGACCCAATATAATATAAGATGCTGGTCCAGCGATCTTATACAATAAGTGCATTCAGTACTATGACCGCTCACTGAGCGCTCAATGAGCTCTTGTATCTGTTTAGTTTATATTTTTAGTTCTAACGGAATATGCCAATCAGATGCAAGAGCTCACTGAGCGCTCAGTGAGCGGTTGTAATTCTGAATGTACCCAATGCTTATATATAGCTTATATGTAATTTTATGTATGTCATTTTATCGCTCTAATAAAGTATATATAAATAAGATTACATAACTATAATATAACTCATTATATAACAATTACATAACATTCGAATTATTTATATTATAATCATATAACATTTCAGCATGTTATGTAACTATTTTGTACCTTTTCTGTGACTGCAACATTTATGTTATCCATGCGTTTGCTGGAATATATGAAAAATTCTGAGAAAAAAAGTATATTTTTTAAGAAATGTTCCAATTCGTATAAAAAATGTGAGTAAGTTATAAAATTATATAAAAATTCTAAAAAATTATATAAAAATTCTAAAAAATTATATAGTAATTATTTAGAATACAGACTGCACCTCCGATTTTGATGAAATTAGGATCATTCAACGCGTTTTTACTCGAAACAAAAGAATTTGTAAGAAAAAGTGTTAGATCGGCCCCGCGAACCAAGATATTAAGCGTTAAAGTTGACGACTATTTAGATTAAAAAATCTATCATACTGATACAACGCTATGTACAAATATTTTGGTGACATTATTTATGCCTGCGCTGTAGCCACAGACTCCGTTAAATTTGAAATAAGTAAAGTGCTATTATTGTAAACATAACAGAAAGAGTATACATACATGACAGAAGGAACACAAAAGAAAAATAACAATAAAGGATTAAATAGCAATTCTTTAGAATATAATTCTCTGCTTTAAAAACAAATTCTCTATTTTTAAAATGTTAGATCTAAATTTCAATTTTTATAAAAAATAGTTTTTAATATTATAATTTACAATCATATTCTCTGCTTTACAAGCGTACTTTGCTTGCTTCAAATTTAGCGATGTGTGTGGCCACAGCGCAAGCGCATGTGACCGAAATGTTTATACATAGCGCTGCATCTCGTCAGTATTTCTAAATTTTCTAAAAACGCTTAATATTGTATTTCGGCTGACCTAACATTTTTTTTTTACAGATTCTTTCGTTTCGAGCAAAAACGCGTTGAGCCTAATTTCATCAAAATCGGAGGAGCAGTCCGTATTCTAAATAATTATCAATTATATGAAAAATTCTGAGAAAAATTTTCACCAGGGGTAATCTGTAAGAATTGATTAATCACAATCAAGTATTCCCTTCTCATTCAACAATAAGAAAGGAACACTCGAAGGTGATTGGTCAATTTATACAGATAACAATAATAAACATTCCCACATACAAAAATTTTTCACTTTTCACATTTTTGTCCTAGGGAAAAAGATACATAATCGATACCCTGCTAAATCTCTAGCTACTTCCGTAACAAACCAAACGCAGTTATGTCGTGCGCAGTCGACATGAGTCGACATCCGGCCACGTTAAGATCGTTTGTCTGTGCTGTTTGCTTGAGATTATCAGCGGTCGAGCTGCCCGGTGTCGCTGAAAAAAAAGTGAAAGTGATTGCGCTCTTATGCCCGAATTTTCTCGAGGCTCAAGAGGATTTTAAATGCGCACAGATCAGTGACGAGACAGCCGCGTAAGCGTCGACGAATAAACGAGAAATAATAAGAATGGATTGCTGGTCGGTCTGGCTATTGCTTGTTTCGCTGTTTGGTGCACTCCTCCTTACGGATGGCGTCGAGCTAACCTTCGAACTAGCCGATAATGCCAAAGAGTGTTTTTATCAAGAGATCGAAAAGAATGTCTCATCTACGTTGGAGTTTCAGGTGCACAACGTTATCACATACCGATTTCCAATAACGCTACGTATTCTTATCACGCGTCACGATGACACGTCGCTATTATCGCTCGCAGTGCATCCGAGGCCGAAGCTCGCGGCGCAGTATGCCACATTTATCCGTTTGTTTAGCTTTAAAGCTGAATGAAACAAACAAGAAATAACACGAATAGAGAGAGTAAATAACGAATAACGCGATTAAAATTTCATTTTATTGATAGATCTATTTTAGTTGCACTGTTCTTGTACTTTACAGTAGGAAAGAGAGGAGAGATATGGATTAAAACAAATGCATCTTGTTCAAGATGTGTTTCTTTTTAGAGAAATTTTATTTTGTTTAGAAGTGGTAATATTTTTATTGATACCACAACTTTCTTTCATCATTTTAGAAGTTATTTCATTGATTTGTAAATACTTTATGTACAAGTTGATTATTTTGTGCATTTTAAAGCAATTCATTTATGAACATGCTTTTATATTTTTCAGGTAGTTACAGGTGGCCAGTATGATGTAGATGTAACTTTAGAAGCACCAAATAAAGAAATTATCTATAGCCAAGTAAAAACACAATTTGATTCACACTCCTTTATTCCAACTATATCAGGAATATATAAAGCTTGCTTTAGCAATGAGTTTTCTACATACTCGCACAAGCTGGTATATATGGATTTCCAAGTTGGCGACGAATTGCCACTTCCTGGTCTTGGAGAACATGTTACAGTCATGACTCAGGTAAATTATAAGATAGATTTTTTACATAAGAGAATTAATGATATCTGATGTGAGTTTTTTTAATAGATGGAATCTTCTGCCCAAGAAGTACACAAAAATCTAATCAGCATTTTGGACTATCAGACGCATCACCGCTTACGTGAAGCTCAGGGCCGCAAACGCGCAGAAGAGCTCAATGAGCGAGTGCTCTGGTGGTCGGTTATGGAGACTGTTTGTATCCTACTCATCGCTGTAGGACAAGTTTTCATCCTGAAAAACTTCTTTACGGATAGAAGTCCTTCCCAAAGTTATTAGTGTGATAATCAAATAACAGAAAAAGAAAAACTCATTTGCGATCAAAGTATACGATCACTGATCGAATCGTCCTTGTGACGATGTCTTGTAATCACTGGTCAAAGTGCCATCGTAATACCTGCCGTTAATGTTTCCCTGCGGCAGACCTTTTAACCACGAGTCTTCTCTGACAATCGAGAAAGGATCACTTAATTCTCAGGAGAGGATTCGGTGATTAGAATCTATAGAGTTGGTTAGAAATGCGGGGTGATTCAAATACATACTATGAACATGTGTAGTATTGTCACGATTATTAATTTATGCTGAGGCTGAAAACTTTCAACATGGGTGCTGATACAATCGAGCGATTAACAGGATGAGTGTAAGTGAACATCTTACACCTTTCTTTTGGTGGATACTCTGAAATTGTATTTATACTAGCACAGGGACAGTACAATGGACATTGGAAGGATTTTTCTTATTGTGAATGTGTGACATAATAAATTAAAAATACTTATGTGTATGTGTACTTGTATCGCCAAGCGATATAATTAATTCCCGTCTCTTGTTATTTATCGGGCTTTCCTTTATTTATCTTAGGCATTAATTAAGAAGTTAAATAAATGCAATTGATTATTTACTTATTTCTTTCAATTTAATGCTACTCCGAACGTTATTAACTATTTTTTATAATAATATAAGCATGCTATATGCCATTACGCAGACGACAATTATGAGTGCATATTCTCGTTATATTGCATATGATTTTTCGACGTGTGTTATTTAATAAACGCATACGCAAATAAACAGAATAAATAAGATTATTAATATTTTGTCTGCACAATGTTTTTAAAGTATTCTAGAAATTCAGATGCCACATTAATTACAGTTTGCTATTATATAATATTTGAGAATCATTCTTACAATTCCAACGAATTTTTAATCTACACAAGAGAATTTGCAAAAAATTAGAATTCCTATGGGATAATTACCTGTTGCATATTATGATCCTAAACTATTATATACAAATATCGTTTTAAAAAGCTGTTTAAAGATGATAATAAAAATTGTAAAATTATAATTATTACTGTGCAATAAATAATCAAATTTATTACAGTTTCGAAAAATATGTTATTTGAGATTGTGTAAAAATGTATGAAGGTTTTAACATAAATATGCTAATTTTTAATGGACACTTGTACACTAAAATACACTGAAAAGATAAATTTTGCTTATGTAATTATGAATCACAAACTAAAAAATGACAATAAAATATTTTATTAATAATGCTACCTTTTGCTGCAATTACCGGGTCAATTTGTTTGGACATACTTTCTATACATTTTAAATAATTTGTTTTGTTTCATTCCTATGTCACACATCAATCAACGTTTGACTAATTGAAATTTGTTAGTGATATTTATATTCCTTGGAAATTTCCCTTTTCATCAATTCCCAAAGATTCTCGATGGAGTTGAGATCCGAAAAGTTTTCAGATCAGTTTATTATTTATATTTACTATTGTTACATAATAAAGAAGTTACATAATAAAGAAGTATTTATAAAACCTCCAGGGTTTGAATTTGAGACGTCTATACATATCGATTGTTGGGAAGAATATTTGTGAAGTCTCAGTGTCGAATTGGCTAAGACACTCGCCCCGAAAAGTCAAGAGGACCCAAAGTTCGAACCCTGAGGTAATATTTTTCGCAATAATAACTTTCTTTCCTTCCTTTCTTTCTAATCTAATTTTGGGGGAGATTAACGTTTCAGATTGGTTATGTTGAAAGTCGGAATGTTATCAGCACGCAATCATTTCTGAAACAAATTTGATATTTAATAAAGAATATATAATGTATTATTCAAAACGTCAAACTTTGACCGATCAAGGCGTTCTCTATCATAATTTATAATTATGTTTTATTTCGTAAAAAAATAATACAGTGTAACTATGTTTTCATTAAAAAATTGTTTAATATAAAATTGTTAATTTATACAAAGTGGAGGTGTTTATAATAATTTGATCATTCATGTATCAATCATGTAAAATGATCTGCAGATATGAAACTAGTGAATATAATATCGTTATCTCTACATAGTATCAGTACTTTTCTGTTATATATACAGAGTATCACAAAATGTTTCAAGGTACTTTTTTCAGAACAATTACAAATAGTGAGGAATTTCTCTTGTAGTTCAAAATTTTTTAACTCATGATGTGGTACCGCTATTAAAAAGAAGCAAAAGAGATAATATTCCATTTTTTTTAATAATACATAAATTTTGTAATTTTTTGATATATCTCTTGTTAAATATAACAATATTCATAAAAATAATTTTCTTTTGCGTAGTAATAACGAACAATATTTTTTTAGTGAGTTGAAGACTATGAATTAATGGAAAGTTATTTTTTATAATATTAATATAAATTTATATTAATATAAATTTATATTATTAGGTGTTGGAATTAATTCGTAGCGTTAATTTTATATACATACGCATATACATATATACAATATACATATATACAATATACATATATACAATATACAGGATGTTCTATTTTAATGTCGCACCCCAAATAACTTTTTTATTTTTGATATATTAGAAAAAAATGTTTCAGATAAAAGTTAGGTTTTGAGGGGAACATAAGATGGTGTTATTAGTTTGATCTTGAATAGTTGCTAGAAAGACGTGAAGGTTACCTTCAATTTCTTAAATGGAATCCTCTAATTTTTATTTATATTTTTGTAAATCATTTGAAGAGCTTTCCAAAACATTATAATTAGGTTCATTTTCATTAAGTACTTTTCGAGTTATAAGGCTTGCAAGTTACAGCCGGCATTAGCATTACCCAAGATGTCCGGCCTGGAATAACAGGTCATCGGAGGTTATTTTAAACCTAACTAAAAATTACATTTCTATGTAAAAATGAAAATAAAAGGTATAAGCTTCAATGGCCTTGATCTTGACAAATATTATCCAGGTCGTGATCTTGACATTCAAGAGATTTTAGGTATTTTAGTCATCGATCAGACATCTTAGGTAATGCTAATGTCAGTGATGTCGTAACTTGCAAGTCATAATTCGAAAAGTACTTAACGAAAATGAACTTAATTAATTGTGTTTTGGAAAGCTCTCGAGATGATCTATATTCTACAAGAATGTGCAATAAAAAGTAGGAGGTTCTCCATTTAAGAAATTAAAGGTAATCTTCACGTGATATTTAAGCAACTTCCAAGATCAAATTAATGATATCATCTTATGTTCTTCTCAAAGCCACACAACTTCTGTCCGAAATATTTTTTTCTAAGATCAAAAATAAAGATTTAGGATGGAATATTAAAATGGGACACCTTGTATATACACTCGTCAACACAATTATTGCAACAAAATTTATATCAAAATTGCGCATCAATTTAAATAAGTGTAATTCCGCGAAAAATGGTCGTATTTAAGTTTTTTATTTTTTCATTTTTAATGGTAAAGTCTGTACTTTACGAAACTTTCATAAATTTTGAATATATCCTTACCCCTACCTACATTTTTTTTTTAAATAAGGACGTATGTTTTTTTTTTAAGAAATTTGCATAATTTGACAAATTCCATGAGGTGGAATAAATTTTTTCCGTAAATATCATGATTACCATTGTAAAGTACGGACTTTTTTCTTACAAATTAAAAAAAAGCTTCGTACGATTTGTTTTTTAGAGATGTATCAAACTTACCTATGCATTTATCAGCATTAGCATGACCCGATACGCATTACGGGGAGGTTGCTGTTCGGATTTTGCGCATCATGTGCGTGCGTGCGTGCGTGCGTGCGCACCAGCGTGCATGCGAACATCATGACGATGACACGAGTGAAACGTTATAATCTCAAAGCCACAATCGTAGATGCAGCTTTTCGTACCACTAACAAGATAGCAGACAAATTGAATATTTTATTAATGTCTACATGATTTGGGAATTGTTTGGGGAAATTTAGGAAAAGTATTTAAACATTTAGGTAATAGTATTTTTCTTATTATTAACAAATTTTATCATGCGTGAAGGAAGCAGATAATGATTTTATTTAATATGTTTTATGAATGAAATCAATTAGAAATCATTGGAAAAAATATCTTCATTGTAATTTTCATTTGGAAAAAGTCGCTATTTTGTAATTTAATAGAGTTACACATTGCGAAAACGAACAATGCCCAGTGTAGTGAGTATAGTAGTATAGTACAGGGTGGGCCATCTATTGGTACGTTTTTGAATTTCGTCGTATGGCAACACCGAACGAGCTACAGACCCGAAATTTTGACAGTTTATTAGTCATACCGTCCGCGGCACGAAACAACATGTTTTCTCTTGAAGAGCGTTTTGAAATTTTAAAAACTTATTTTCAAAGTCAGTGCTGTGTCGCCGAAACTGTACGAATTTTGAAAAGAAATATGGGTCGTGATAGAGCACCCACCGAAGGAGCTATACGCAAATTGGTGAGGAAAGTTCGTGAGAAAGGGATGTTAGTGGATGACATTATATTACGACTGTTTTGAGTGAAATTGGCGCCGAGGTAGTCCAAAATGTCATTAATAATTGGGGTGACCGAATGGCATACTGTAAGGCCAGTAGAGGGAGCCACATGAACGAAATCGTTTTTCATTCTTGACGCGAATACTTTTAGCTTCACAACAACAAAAAAATTAATAAAAAATATCAATGTATGCTCATTTGATCGCATTTTTAAAAACGTACCAATAGATGGCCCACCCTGTACAATGAATGTAATAAACCTAAAATCATCAAAAATCAACCAATTAGTCTGGTTCTAATTATATGTAGTAAGAAATCAACTTAATCATTAATTATATTCGATTAATTTTTTTCACATTCAATTGTGATTGGTCAATTTCTTATGACTCAAAGCTTTCTACATTTATTGTACCATTTGAGTGAAATTTACGAACACAATCTAACGTTGAAATATTCGGGATAAATTTTGACATAAAAATATAAAATGAAGAAAAAAGTTTGTTACAAGTAAATGTTTTTTTTTTATTTGTAAATATTATTATTTAAATACGTTTCAAGAAAAAAGAAATATTTATTCTTTATTTTTTTTATTTTCTAGTAAAGACAAACAAACTATTTTATTATAAAACCATTTGTCCATTTTTACTGGAAAATAAAAAAGAATAAATATTGAAATTTTTCTTCTTAAATAATATGCCCTATTATAACAAATCTTTTTCTTCATTTTATATTTTTATATCAAAGTTTACTTCAAAAACCGAATATTCCAACGTTAGACTGCGTTCGCGAACTTCACTCGGATGATATAATAAATGTAGAAAGCTTTGAGCCATAAGAAATTGACCAATCACAGTTGAATGTGAAAAAAATTAATCGAACATAATTAAGTTCATGATTAAGTTGATTTTTTACTATACATAATTAGATCCGGGCTAATTGATTAATTTTTGATAATTTTAAGTTTACTACATTCATTGTACTATACCTATTACTACCCGGGCATTGTTCGTTTTCGCAATATGTGTAAATCTATTGAATTATAAAATTACGACTTTTCTCAAATGAAAATAACAATGAAGACGGTTTCCTCAAATGATTTCTAATCGATTCCATTCGTAAAACACATTAAATAAAATCGTTGTTTGACTTGACGCATGATAAAAAATTGTTAATAACAAGAAAAATACTTATATCCAAATGTTCAAATACTTTTCCTAAATTTCCCCAAATGATTCTCAAATTATGTAGACGTAAATAAATTAGAAATATTCAATTTACCTGCTATCTTGTCAGTAGTAATTTTTGTCCTGTTGAAAGATTGCGATTAACGCCTTATTTTTATGACCACTGAACTATATGTATTGTATATACACTGGAATAGGCATCTCCGTTATGAAGCATAGAATATAGTATCACCAATTGATCAGTGCCATTTTATTGGGTCATCTAAAAAGTATCCGCGGTTTTTTGTCACTAGATGTGTGTTGATGATCATATATCTAGTGACAAAGTACCACGGATACTTTTTAGGTGACCCAATAATTTGGTCGCTATAAGAGCGAATCAGAAGCTTTCAGATGCTCATGCGCACTTAGTGTTTTTTAGTGATACGCATATGTCAGGAAGATCATTTTGTGTGTGTGTGTGTGTGTGTGTGTGTGTGTGTGTGTGTGTGTGTGTGTGTGTGGGAGGGGGGGAGTTATATTTGAAAGATTACTTTGAAAGATTATTAAATCGCGTGATTGTGAAATGTGCAAAGCATCAACATGAAGTGCTGTGTGCCTGAGTGTGGACAGAAAAGTAAAAAGGGCATTTCATTTCATAGGTAAGAATTTTTATTAAATGAATTTTTATTAAAAGAATTTTTATTAAATATCAATTCCTGCACATGTGTTAACGATGTAGTATATGAAAAGTATTATTAATGTTATTTTACTGAATGTATTGGGTCATCTAAAAAGTATCCGCGGTTTTTTGTCACTAGATGTGTTGACCATCAACACTATCTAGTGACAAAAAACCGCGGATATTTTTTAGATGACCCAATATTAATAAAATTGAAGTGACATTATTTTTGTTTGCATACCATTCATGTCCATATAGATTTCCATACATCGATTAGTATATCCATAGTATATCAATTGATATATCGATTGCAGCGCGCGCGCGAACGCTTCTAATTCATTCAAATATCATCCTAACTAAAATGGCGGCTGATCAATTGAGGCCACAAATATCTCTCGATGCCCATTTCAGTATATATTGGGTCATTTAAAAAGTATCCGCGGTACTTTGTCACTAGATATATGATCAACACACATGTTGTGACAAAAAACCGCGGATACTTTTTAGATGACCCAATATATATTCAATGCTTATGACTAACCAATCGGAAAACACTCACGTGACTTAGGGCCTCAGTACAATTTTGGTCGTAACCGAGTTCGAGTCGTGAGTCATAGTCATATGTCAACGCACAATTTTGGAGTATCTGTTTGCCGTATGGATCACATTATTCGTCGATCTTTTGTAGTCTTGTAATGATAACAGGTTTGTTCGCGTTGCATACTCCAAACCTAGAGAGCACTTGGATCACAGATAAGGTAGCGGTTGGAGCAGTTGCATTCAAGTGCTCCAATGTTCAGTGACACAAACGGATTTAGGACAAGTGAACCTGTCACCTAACCTAATCCATGAGATTATTTGAACGGATCGGACATGTATCTTGTTTCGTTTCGGGTATTTTGTGTTCGATTATTTAAAAAGCGTTTTTTTTTATACAAAATAAATGCGCTTTTAATAAATATAAAAGTTATATTATATTTTTATATTATATTATATTTTATTGTATTAATATTAGATGTTGGAATTAATTCGTAGCGTTTTACAAGTGATGGGAAGTACTTTCATTAATGTATTTTTTAATGCTCATGTGAAATAAATAACATTC